CCTGCTGGTCACACTTCTTCTGATGCAGCCCAGGATATGGTTGGCTTCGTGGGCTGCGAGCGCACATTGCCGGAATGTCACTGTACCTTGGTAGTCACCCGGGACGTGGGGAGTTCTGGCTCAGGGTCTGTTTGTTCCACCATGGGCTTCTTGGGGAAGCTTATTAGGCTGTTTGATAGGATGCACAAAGATGCTTTGTGGCTCTTGGGTGTGTGGTTGGGTTAGACGCAGGGGGTTTGCCTCATCCGTCAGGATTTCAGAGTCCTGAAGTATCTGAAGTTGTTTACCAAGAGATTTTATGCATGTAAAAGTGGGCAGACTCAGCCTTCATGTGTGGGGGGGGAAAAGGAGTCTTGGGTCCCACTCAGTTAGGCAACAGCCTACTGTTTGGAAGAGCCAAGGTACTTAGTATCTCTGTGGCTCCTGTCCTTAATCTACAGGTGTTTCCAAAGCAGCGATATCGTCTATCCTGAAGGTGCAGGGCTGCAGTAAGGTAAGATTGTGAGACACTGAGATACTTTGTTGGTGAGCCTTGCGGACAAGAAAAGGGAAGAGATGGCTGGCTGGTTGAAAGTCGTATGTGGAAAGTTATCTTTCCCTTTCTGGCTGGTCTTGCTCTTTGTATGACTGCTCTGACCCATGCATCCATCACCTCTTCTCTGCCCTACCCATCTGTTTGAGCCCAGGCTTTCTCGCTGTCTCTGTGGCTGAGCAGGTAGGGGGTCCAGAGCAGTGCTATGGACCTGGCACCGTCCTCACCAGCAAAGAGACAGGACCACCAGAGGCTGGAGAAACAGCAGAAGAGCTGGGCAAACGCATTACGGCTGTCGGGGCCTTGCAAGAGAAATGCTGTGGGGTGCTGAGATCCAGGTACTGCTGTGCTGGGTGCCCCTTCCATGCATGGACCCCTCTGTGCTGCTGCAGTGCTGGAGACCTTCCATCCCGGGGGAGCCCACTATTGTAAAGGGACAGTGCTGCTGCTTCGTATTTACTAGTGGTTCTCAGCCTGTGGTCTGTGAAAGATGCTTAGGCACGGCAAGTGCCCTCTTAGGCTGTTAGAAAGGACATACATCCACTGCGCCTTTGGTTAACTCTTTGGCGTAACAAATCAAAGCGGGCTCGAGATGTTGACTTGTCTCAGGCATACTGGGAACGTGATAGAGCTGAATAAAACTTGCGGCCAGCTTAAACATATGAACCTTTCACCCGTTCTCCTGGCTTGCTTCTGGTTCGTTTTCTCTTCCTCCGCTCGCAGATCGGAATTGCCCTCAAACCCTTGGAGTAAGAGGTAGCGTAGTACCACCTCTTTAATTCGAGCAGCAATGCTTTGTCAGGGAAAAGGCTGCACCGCGGGTGGCGATGCCACCGAAACAATGTCCGGCTAAGCAATGGGACCTGGGCAGCCGCGTCCTCGCAGACAGGCAGGATAGGACCCCTCAGCCACTTGGCAGCCTCTTGCCAAAACTGCGGTCAAGTCAACTTCAGGTGCCTGCGGGGAACGGGGTCTGGTTGCCCTCTTGCAGCCCCGTGGACCTCCCTGGGTGGGTGCGGAGCTCTGGCTGCTGCAGCATCGTCGTGCGTGTGGTTGTCTCCCCTCCGCTCTGTGCTGCAGAGCTCCTCTTCTCTCCAGGCGCTGGGAGGGAAGCGGAGATGCTGGGGGAAGAGCTTGTGGAGGTGGGGAGAGATTGAGCTATCATTAGCGTGGCACCGGTGAGGTTTCTTTGCACCGCGAATCAGTAGCTATCAAAATTGAGTGCAGTATGCTGAAGGGCTGAGCGAGGGAACGGATACTGAAAGGAGCCTGCGAAGAAAAAGGATTTTTTTGGAGGAAAAAACCCTTCTTTTGACTGCACGTAGGCACTGCCCGTCACTGAGAGCTGTGTCAGGGAGTGGGAATTGCCTGCGTATGGTGATTGATCTGCGCAGCCCCTGGGATGCTCAGAAAACGGATTAAGGAGAAAAGAATCGCGGGAGAAGGAGGAGGTGGAGGTTCCCCTTTGAAAACGCAGGGGCTAATAGAAAACATCCTCTAAATTGTCAGTGTGTCAGGTTACATTAATGTAAGTACGTTTTCAAATCCTTGGCATCTTCTATCTGAATGTCACTGAATTAGCACTAATGCATTCATTAGCTCATTACTCATTAATATTCAGTATCCGTTAGCCTGGCTTTTTCTCTGGAAGATGGGGATAATGAGACATGGGACTGGCTGCGGGGCCATGCTGTAGCTGTGCTTAGTGTGGTGGGAGCGCGGTTTTATGTACCAGAATGGCCTTCGGTGATTGTTTTATTGGCACTTGTATCTAGCCTACGCTGTCCCGGCTCTTGGCCAGTGGTTTACCACAAATTAGTGGAAATTCTTAACAGGAGAGCAGTGCTAATGATGATGTGGATAAATTTCCACCAACTCCTGCCCTGAAAGCAACTGGCGGGACAACTGATTAAGGCATATTTTGATCTTCTAGCCTGTGGTCAGAGTTGCAAAACTGCTTCTGTAATCACAGAGCTGTTCATCACCATCTTCATCGGTGAGTCATGGAGTCCCCCCTACAACCCCTGTCACCTTCCTTTGCTTCTTGCCCTCGGGAGAAATTCTCTAGATATGAAGAAGTCTAATTTTTTTTTTCTTCTTTTCTCTTTTTTCTTTTTTTTTTTCCCCCCAATCCTGTCTTCCCTTCCTCTGCCACTTCTGACCATGAAGAGGACAGAGCAGGAGGTGTGGGCAGCAGACTTTCCCTGGCAAGAAACCCAGAGGGATCCAGAGGTGCCAGGCTGGTGCGGTCAGCACACTCAGCACCCCAAATCCTATCAAGACCAGCAAGCCCTCAGGTCCCTTGGGAGGGCTTTGGTGACCTGGGGCCAGTAGGATGCTGCTGCTCAGGTCCTCTGCCAGACTTTTCCCTCAGCTAGCAAGCCTTCACAGAAGGACTTTGCTTTGCTCCCCACCAGAGGAAAGTGGTCAAATAGGTACCCAGCACCTTTACAGGGGTGTGAGGGTCCTCCTGACAGCATGGCACACCTCAGGCAGCTTGGGGCTGTCCTCCCCAGGTCCCAGGAGCCGCGTTGGGCCAGATGAGGGATGTGGGATGGCCTCACAGCGGTCCTGAGGCTCAGCATGAGAGAGGAGCATTCAGCAGAGGGGTGTTGCTTCAGGGTTGGGCTGGATAGCTTTGATAAGAAAATGCTGGGCTAGAAATACCGCAGCAACAGGTCTTCTCTGGTTTCAGCAGCAGTGCGGTTCTGGCGGGGAAACCAGTCGGCATCCAACCTTGTGAGTCTGGGTCTGCCAGGACTGCAGAAACTGTAGTAAGAAAAATTAAAAAGAAGTCAAGCTTTTCTTTTGGACACATCCCTCTGGATTTGGGGTGGATTTTGTGTGCAGATTATCTCAATTTGAGTACGCACCAGTTATTGTGACAATTCGGGTCAGCAAACTCTCCAGACGTGATAAATCGTCCAAACTTTTCTACTAGCACCTACCTTTTGAGCTTCTTGCCTTGTGGTTGAGTGTAAGGATGAGTATACAGCTTCCACCTTCCTCCTCAGCAGTCGTTTTCCCCTGCCCCACTTCTGAAATATTTCTAGACCCTGGCTGCTGCATATGACTCTGTGCTGCCTTTCCAGGAACCTGGGCTTAGTTATTCAGGGGAATAAGAGCAAAAAACCGCAACAAAACTCCCTACAATCCAAAAGAAGCACCTGCAAAGCCCTGAGTAGCTGAACTGGCTTGCTGAAAAGCATTTTGCCTGTGGTCTGCTTGAAAGGGTCTTATTAACCCCTTGATCATGGTATTCAGTCTTTGGACTGTCCCAGCGAGACCTTTTAGCTGTGCCTTACAGAAAGAGTTCTGTTGGGCGCTTGCAGACATCTCTGTCCGCTCTTGTCTGGACAACCACAGGGAAGGGTTTTCCTGCAAGAGGGAAATCCCTCGCGATGCAACGGGACAATGCTTGCATGCACGATGCCGAAATAACCGGCACCTCGTTTTATTAGTCCCCGAAGACTCGTGAAATCTTTAGACGCGAGCGTAAATCCTCTCCTCCTGGGACGGCTGGGCTGGGGCGGCACTTGAGCCCTGCGCTTGCTTGGGATGGATTAGCTGTGCCTGGTGCCTCTGGGGATTCGTCTGGGGGTCTCTGGGAGGGTGAAGTGGGAAAGAGAAAAAACGTGTTTGTGTTCAGCTGAGCCAAGATGAAATGAGGCCAAACTGGAAGAAAAGACTCTCTGAACTGAGGGCTTCCAGGGTTTTATGATTGCAGGATGATATAGAGGGATTTTGTGGGACTCTTGACACTTCTACTTTTATACCACCATGCCAAGGCAGAAGTTATCTCTTCCACCGTAGCTTCTGTCAGTTATCTTTGTCTTGTTCTTATCCCAGATAGTATTTGTAGTTTTTAGTTGCCATCATCTTCCGTTTCCCAGAAAGCAACATATCCTCAAGGAAAGTCTTGCCTCTGGCTTGTTGTTCAGGGGCTGGTGTGTTCTGGCACAGCGTGGGGGATGCAGCATCTGGGGGGACACACAAATAAACACCGGAGACTTGTGTGGTATTTGGCCTGAAATGGCAACTGAAGGGTGTGATGTATGGCACGAGGAAAGACAAAAGGCAAAGCATCCCTTAATGACTGTAATTCCCCTAGTGTGGAAAGCATTTAATTCCTCTAATCTGGGAAACGGCAAAGAGGTACCGTGGGGCATTGCTTCATGCTGGGATAGGCCAGACTATTGTGTGTAGGTCAAAGGCATTTATAGCTAAATGCCCATGCTAAAACCCCGCTGCTTTGTTTTTTTTTTTTTTTTTTTTTTTTTTCTTGTCCTCCTAGGCAGATCCCAGTGATGGTGGGATCACCCTGAGATGAGCCACCCATAGCCAGCGCCGGCCTCGCTGCCAGGGCTCCCTACCCCGGGACAATGAGGAGCCGTCTGCTGGCTTAACAGGGAAAAATTTCGTAGCGGTGGCTGGTTTTTCCCCGCACCTCGTGAAATTTCATGTGACGGCAGAGCCGCTTCCCGTGCCCTCCTTACGCCGCCTCGCAGCCGAGGGCCGGGTGGTGGAGGGCCACCGCCATGGCGGCGAAGCAGCCCCCGCCGCTGATGAAGAAGCACAGCCAGACCGACCTGGTGAGCAGGCTGAAGACACGCAAGATCCTGGGGGTCGGCGGGGAGGACGACGACGGCGAGGTCCATCGCTCAAAGGTGAAGGCAAGGGGAGAGGGAAGCCCGCGTGCGGTAATGGTGGAAAAGAGAATTTCTGCCTGGACAACTTCAGGTGGTGTGGGTTTTTGTTTGGTGTTTTTTTGTTTTTTTTTTTTTTTGGTTTGGGGTTTTTTTTTTTTTTTTTTTTAGCATCTAACTTCTGCAGCCTCTTTGGCAAAAACAGGGCTCCCAGCTCCGTGGGGCTCCTGTAAAGGGAGGGTGAAGGCTGTGGTGGCACAAGCAGCGCTGCTGCTGTTGAGCAGCAATGGGTCATGCAGCCTGCTGGGTGCACGGAGCTGCCCAAAACAGCTTTTCAGGGTAATGGGGCCCTCAAGCTGCTTTAATCCATTCCTGAAATTACATCGCCAAGATGCCCATGAGCCAGCTTGGAGCTGGTGCCGTAGGACCACGGCATCACCAATGCCCATCAGGCCTGGATGCTAGAGCAGTGATTTAAGTGGTGCCTCTCAGAAGAGGCATGAATTGCAAACCACCAACCTGTTTCAGCAAAATACCAGAGCCGGAGGACAAGGCTGAGTCCCACAGGAGCCCTGTCCCGGATTCTCTCTGGAGAACTTGCTGGCAGGGCATTGCCCAGCCTGCGCGTAGGGAGCAGCACAGAGCTCTCCGAGAGCTCTCTGCAACCAAAAGCTGCCCCAGTACCTTTCCCTGTTGCTGGTCTGTGTAGCCTTCCCATCCGTGTGGTTTGGGGAAGTCGTGGTTTGGGGAAGAAGTCGTGGTTTGGGGAAGTCGTGGACGGGCATCACCCTGGGCAGCGCCAATGCAAGAGCGGGACGGATGCTGTGACCCCCCGAGGGCTCTGCTGGAGCCTGTGCTCCATCGGGATGTGACGTGCAGGCGGTGTGTGTGAGAGGAGACAGTTCCCTAATTACCTAGGTAAGAGGAGACGAGTTAATGTTGTCCCTGCCTCAGGCTGCTGATCCCAGTAAGGGAGCAGTAGAGGCTGCAGCTCCTGATGGAAATCGAGGAGCCATCAGCGGGTTTTGTGACCAAGGGGGTCACAGGTAAATCCCTTGTCCTCGTCCTCCTTCCAACCCTCTTTAGGGATAAGCTCCCACATGGGGTTAGGTATGCATTTTGGGGCTGGCAAATACTGCCTAAAGGCTGGGGAAGGGTCTGCTTAGTCACCTTGTGTCTTTTATTTGAATTTCAGATTAGCCAAGTACTGGGAAACGAAATCAAGTTTGCTGTCCGGGAACCTTTGGGGCTCAGGTAAGATACTGGGAGGCAAGATACTTCTCGGATAAGGGACACAAGGGAGCTGGGTCATCTGAGGGCCCTCGGCCACAGCATCCCTGACAGCTCTGGCTGCCGACACTGGCTCTGCTGCTGCACCAGCATCGCTGCTCCCTGCGGGGGCTTTTTGGGGGCCATGGGACCAGAGCAGCTCTGCTTTCTTCCCCCGTAAATCATCCTGGAGGCCCTTGAGCTCTTGTCCCACAGCAGGTGCTGGGAACCAGAGGGGCTCACGTGGGGCTGGAGAAGCTCCTGGTCTCGAGTGTGACGGGGTGGTCGCGTCCCGCGGGGACGCCGTCCTCTTGGCAGGGTCGCTTCCCTCCTCTGCTTGGGTGAGGAGGATTTTGGCTCTGTCTCGCCAGCGAGGCTGGAGCTACTGGGATGCGGGGAGCCGAGTCGTCCCACGGGAGCCTCGTGGCTGCCCTCGGTTGCGCCAGGGGAGAGGATGAAGGCTGACGACCGAGCGGGCGGCCAGGAATGCTTTACAAAGTCTGAGCGACGGCATCGCCCCCGTGCTGACGCCGTGCCCTCCGTCTTCCTTCTCGCACAGGGTCTGGCAGCTGGTTTCCGCCGTCATGTTTTCCGGGGTCGCCATCATGGTAAGTGAGGGACGTGGTCCTGGGCACCAGCAGCTCCCAGTTGCCAAAGGGGTGTCCCGGCGTGGCTCCTCGGTCCCCCTGGCATTTATCCCCCCTCCTCTGCCTCCAGCAGCTGCTGCCGCTTTCTCTCGCCTTCGCCATGTCTCAGTAATGGGCTTTGCTAGCGGCGTCCTTGGCGGTTTGTTCCCATCACCGAAGTCTGTTTTCATTAGCAGGGTCATAAACCACACATGGCGCACAGCCTCGGCCGTAGAAACCAGTAGTTGACACACCGACGCTTCTTGCGCCTCCTTAATTTCCAATTTCCTCGCCGGCGGCTCCGATCCCATAAAGCCTTGACGTCGGAGCGCTGCTGCCCGAGAGGGCACGTTTTGAAGGCCCTGGCCGGTGCAGGGTGCTGAGTCTCTCCCTTGCCTCTGCCAGGCCCTCGCTTTCCCCGACCAGCTCTACGACGCCGTTTTCGACGAGGAATCGGTGAGCAGCAAGACTCCCATCCGGCTCTACGGAGGAGCCCTCCTCAGTGAGTGCCGTGCCGCTGCTGCCCCGTCGAATAAGGGGACGAGAGGCCAAAAATGGCAGGAGGGGGCAAAGTCTGTGCCCAGCCAGAGAACTGCAGCTGGAGAGCAGAACAGCTGCTGTTGGCAAAGAAATTGTTTCAGGGTTATTTTGAAAAGCTCAGCTGCTGCTGCTTTTTTTTCCTAGTAGGGGCTGAGGCTCGCTGCAGGTAGGGTAAGGAGGTGCTGTGCATGCTCTAAATACTTGGGGGGAGTATCCCAAGCGCCCCAGCAAAGGGAGATTGCAGGTGGGCTGGGTGGGAGATGATGGGGTGCTGGGCTGAAGCTGGGGCCAGACCCCACTCGTGGGAGCGGGAGAAGAGAAGGGGCACCCCGGCAGGGTCCCAAGAGGTGGGGGGCAAAGGACAAGAAGGTGAGGGGAGCCTAGAGAGATGGTGTAGAAGAGAATATGAGCAAAGGAGTTAAACCCATGGGGTTTGCATCGCTTTGCATCCTGCGCTGCAGCTGCTAGTGCTCCCAGCCTGCAGGGACTGCACCTTCTGGGTGCCCATCCAGGTTCTTTTTTGGGGCTGGCACGCCGCAAAGGGCAGGCAGGTGCTGGCAGGGTGTGCGTGGGGGTGTTTTTTGGGGGTGGAGGGGGCTGCTGGGGCTGAGTGGGTTGCCGGCTCCTTCCTGCAGCCTGCAGCAGCACCTCGTGGGGTGGGCTGGAAATGCAGCGGCCACAGCGGCCGGGGAGAGCAGAACTGCTTCCCATTTCCATTCACCAACGCTTCCCATTTCCATTCACCAACGCTTCCCATTTCCATTCACCAACGCTTCCCATTTCCATTTCCATTCACCAAACCTTTCCGTTTCCATTCACCATGGCCAAAATGGGAGCAGGCGGGTGGGCTGCTCCTTCCCGGTGATCTGCTGTCCCTCCCCAGGTATCTCGCTCATCATGTGGAACGCTCTCTACACGGCCGAAAAAGTGATTATCCGCTGGACCCTGCTGACGGAGGCGTGCTATTTTGCCGTGCAGTTCCTGGGTGAGTAGCTGCAGCCACCCAGGAGGGAGAAGGAGGAGGAGGCGAAGGATGGAGAGGGGGGGTACATGCTGTGTACCCCCACCGGGCAGGGAGGAAGGAGAAGCAGAGGTGGGCAGGACAACTGGCATGAGCGATGGGATCGAATGCGAAACTGGAGCAGCACCTTTGGGTCTGATGGGGGGGATGGCAGGCTGAAGGAGGTGTGGGGTGAGGGTCTGGGAGCCGCAGCGGACTCAGCTGGTGGGAAGGTGCTGTCTCTGCTGCCTGCCCGGGCACAGGGACACCCAGCTGTCCCCATGCTGTGCCTGGCTTGTGCTGGAGATGGCTCCTTTGCTCTGCAGGACTGGCAAAGATAGATAACCTGGCTCCCGGAGCACCTTCCCTGCCAGCTGCTCTCCCTTTTCCTTGCCCGGGGCTGCTCACTCAAGGGTGCCCAGGTGCAGAGGAAACATCTTCCTCCGATTCATTTATTTTTCTCCCTAAAAACATCTGGCCTCCATTGCCAGCACAGGTCATCTGGAGCGGGCTGCCTAGATGCTGGGGCTAACAAGAACAGACTGTAGCAACCTACACTAAAAAGAAGGGGCATGTTCAGTCTTACCAAAACAGAGAATAACAGTTCAGCTTGTTTCTAGGGAGCTTATCTATATTTAACAATGAAGGGGGTTCTTGTATGTGTATATTGGTAGCTCACTAACTGTGTTATAAGGTAGCTATGTGTGGGTAGCCAAAAAGGAGAGAGATGGTCGGAAAAGAGGTAGTGTGTATGGACTATGCATATTTTGTAGATGCTTCTAAAGTTGAAAACTGTTTATCGCCGCTGAAGCGGTCAAGCCACAAAGCAAACTCAGGAACCTGCAGCTTCCACAATTAGCATCTGAGCACAACAGAAACTCGCATTTGCCTGCGTGACCATTTCGGGCTGTGGCTGCCTGAATGTGGGGCTGCCTTTTAAAGCAAGGTTTCTGTAAGTGAGAGCTCTGGGGGCTGTGGCTAACGTCAGGGCTGTGAAATCAAGCCAGCGAAGAGCCTCTGCCATGGGTTCACGGTGCGTGTGAGCCTGTGCTGAAAGCTGCTGCGTTTGCAAGGCTCAGCAGGTCTTGCTAAGACACTGCATTAGAGGGCAGCAGAAAACAGTTTTGTGCTATTTCTCTCCGTTTTGTTTTTTCATCACCAACCTCTGCCTTGTCTCCCTCCTTCTCCTCCAGTTACCACTGTCTCCCTGGTTGAGAGTAGCCGGATAGCTACAGGTGCCGTGCTCCTCCTGGTCAGCCGAGCCCTCTTCATCCTCATCAGCATTTATTATTATTACCAAGTTGGACGCCGTCCCAAGAAAGTCTAATTCCTGGGCTTTTTGTCATGGGAAGGGTGGGGGGGGGTTTGTGTCGGTAATTTTGCATTATAATTATAACTTTTTTTTTTTTTTTTTTTTTTTTTTTGTTAGTCCCTTTTGGTTCTAAAGTGGTTTCCTTCTTTTCCACTTACCGGCATGAATCAGTGTGTAACCCGGTGCTGGTGGCATTGCCAGGTGAAATGGGCCAGGGGTGGGGGGGGCAGCAGCGTTTGGTGGGACCCCCCAGCCCCTCTGCAGGAGGCGAGGAGCAGTGGGAGGAAGGCACAGGGAGGTGCGTGGGCCTGGCAGGCTGAAGGAAAAGAGCCGGTTTCCAGGGTTGGGGAACTGGCCGATGGGAGCACAGGCTCTGAACCCGCTGGAACAAAGCACAAAATAAGACCAGCACATTGAAACCAAATCCCTGAGGAGACAGGGCGGTAAGACAACTGACGGAAAGGACTCAGTGGCTACCCTTGGTAAGCCTTGCCCCTGCCTGGTGGAGTATGCCCTCGTGTACAGCCCGTTCCCTTTACAGCAAGTACTGACTGTCCTGGGAGCTGGACGGGGCTAGGTCGAGTTCAGCGCTTTGCGAACAGCTCTTCTTTCCTCGCTGCCAGGAAAAAAACCCCCACCGTTCGCGGTTTTGCACCGGGTGCTGTGCAAAGCTTGGCAGGAGACAGAGCGAAAGAAGAGGGAGAGCCCTTGCTTGTTCCCTTCACTGGGAATAGCTTGAACTACACCACGTGAGAAGTGAAGGAGGCGATTGGAAATAGCCTGTTGAGCACAAAGACATCCCCTTGCTTACTATGTTTCGTGCCGTTTCCAGGCTGGGGTCCTGTTCCCTTCACCCCGGACCACTTCCTACACTTGCAGCTTTACTGATGGTAGTAGCGGTGGTGGATGTTTGTTAGATGGTGTCTGATGCTTTAGTTAAGCAGGGGCTGGAATGCTGATGTGGTTAGCACTAGTAAGAGCAGAGCGAGCATCGGTACAGCTGCTTGGGTCAGTGAGCAGCCTCTAGAGATGAGCCTCAGCTGTGGGAGATGGTGTTCCAGCCCTGCTGATGTGCAGGCATCACACCTCTTGTGACTTTGAGAAGAGAGGACCAAAGTTTGTAGCATTAAGATACTTAACTGGGATGAAGAACAGCAAGGAGCGAGGCATATGAAGGCATCATTGCCTTCTCTAGCTCATTCAAGGACGGACTAAATGTGCTTTAGTACTCACTGGCCAGTTTCGCCAACACCTCCTGGGCTTACTAGCATTGGCTGCCCAACTTCCTAGCGCTTTCCTTGCAGGTTATCCCTGTCCACAGCTGGGACTAAAGCCAGAAGGTCTGTGTACAGGATATGGACTTCTTACTCACATGCTACTGTTGACTGGATCAAAGCGTGCCCTGGAATAGAGCTGATGTCCCAAAAATCCCAGTAGAAAGATGCTTACGCAAACAGAAGTGCTGGTGTGAACAACAGCCCTCAAGCCACTGCTGAGGCTGGGATCTATGGCTATTGCTGTTTAATATCTTCGTAGAGTTAGAAGAAGGTAGTGGGTAGTTACTGTATATTGTGTTAGTGCTTTTGGCATTTAGAAGCAGATGCATAAACTTGGGACACCGTGTGCATTGTACCTACTGGCCATGCAAAATGTCTGTCAGGTAAGAATATTGGAGATAATAGTTGAAACAGGAAACATCACAACTGTAATTTTTTTTTTTTCCTAAGAAGTAAATCAAAGGGAGAGGCAACATCCAACAGCAGGCTAAATTCTGGAGCCTCCCAACAACACATGCCTGCCAAGCTGCTTTCAACATGTCCAAAATATGATACTGAGCAACTAAAACTTAGATTTAAAAGGAGCCTTCCTGTTCAGGGGGAAGAGTTGGGCTCTAAGAGGGAAACCTTTTCCCCTGAGGGAGGAAATAAATGACCAAGCGCAGCCTGGAGAGTATCACAAATTTGATTGAGCAGTGCTGCATGGGGGAGCTGGAGCGTGGCATGTTGCTCTCCCCCTGCGCACCACCTGCATGGGCAGCTGCTGTGGCTTCAGTGCAGCACTTCGGCTGTAGTTGTTGGTATAGGTACGTAAAGCTTGATTCTTTGTGTTTTGGGGGGGTCACATGAATGTATACACAGACTGGTCTTTGGTTTTGGGGAGGGGTGGGAAATGATGTTTCTAGGAAAGACAAGTAAAACTGACCACAGCAAAAGCGATCTTGCAGAAGAAGGAAATGGAGGGTCATCTTAATGCTGGCCTCCCGTCTGTGTTGGCTGCAGGTCCTAGGAAGGTAGTTATGACTCTTGGTCTGTAGATGGCTGGTTAGTGTACCTTAAAATGTCATCCAGCAGGTCGGAGAAATGAGTTACTGCATTATGTAAGAGCAGTTCTCCAAAGACTTCTTGATGGTTAGATCGGGTAGGAGGCGGGGGAAGCGGTTACAGCTTTCCTACATTGGGTGAGGTCAGATTCCTCTGGTTCCCTGCTTAGCAGCTGCCTCTGCAAAACTTAAAACAGTGAGCCGCTTCTAGTTTTGCCAGTCAATGTCTTCTGCTCCAACACAGAGCAAAGCCCGGGGGAGAGGTGATGTTAAGAGGTTTCATGCTACTTGGTACCTAGTCCTGGAAGGGGAGAGACGAAGAAATTGTTTTATTTTCATGCTTCTTGCTCCATCTTGCTATAAGTGGGTCATGTAGAAAGCATGGAAGCAGACTGGGGCTCTACACCTCTTCTACAACTGTGTGAAAAGGGGCAAATGGATGCCCCTGCCTGGCAATGGCTACAAAAAGGCTGTGGTCCCCTGGCATGGTCCCTTCTCACCAGCAAGGTGCTGCAGGAGAAACACGGCCAGGTGCACTGGAGGAGGTGAATTTGGAGCAGGTGAGGTCAAGGAGGGAGTTTCTCAGGGTGGCTTGAGGATGGAGCCCAGGCAGAGGATCTTGTAGTGCTGCCAGAAACCAACTGTGCCGGGTTGTCTTTGCTCTGTTGTGAACTGGGGGGGAAAGGGAGGAGGATGCTGTAAGGTTTGTACGGAACCGCATCCCGAAGGACAGAAGGGTTGGCGTGGCAGCTGCAGGTGGCAGCTGACCATGTAATTTGGGATCAAAAGCCCGAGGCATCACCTCAGGCTCTGCTACTGATCTGCTGAGAAGAAACATCCATCTCCATGGGCCTCAGTTTCCTTATCTGCTAAATTGTGAGAAAAGGCCTTGGACTGACATCATCTCCCAAGGGAGACTGCAATGAATTACCTGCATTTGTATAAGGTTGTGCAGGGCTGGGAGTCGTGTTCCCCTTTCTCTGCCAGAGGATGGACCCAAACCCTTGCATTCATCGAGCCCTCGCTTTTGAGGGTGAAGAAAGCTCATAATTCACATAACTCCCTACATCGCCTTATTTATGCCTAACCAAGATCTGGCAAGCTGGTGACAAAGGAGAGGCTCTGTCTGTCCTAATCTGGCCTCTCCTTTCTGGTCAAGGGTTTTTACTTGGGGGGGGGGGGGCAGGGGAGAAGGGGACACTTCAGTTTATACCTCATTTTAGCTGCTGTACCTGACTTTATTCTTTCTCCTCTGGTAAGAAAGTGACTGTACTTAACACCAAGCAAATAGTGAAAATTAAAGCTGTTTCACTTCACTGTCACAATATCTTTCTTTTATTTTTTATTTTTTTTTTAAGAAACGCACACAAAAACCGTGCAGAGAGTGCTTCAGGCTTGTGTTCTGGTTTATATTACCAAAAAAAAAAAAAAATTCCTTTCAATATAAAAAAGCATTACAGTAGGGAATACAGGATAAATTAGCTCCACTATCTAATAAAAAGAACATTTACAATTTTTTTTTAAAATAGATTTCAAACATTATTTCACACGCAGCCCTTTTCCCAGGCATTCGTGACAGTCAGTTGAGCATTAAATAACAGCCAGGAGGCAGGGGTGCTGAGAGGGGCTGTGGGCTTACAGGCACAGGCTGCTCTCTCCTATTTCCCACCAAGGTGCCTGGGCCACGCTCCCAGTGCTACAGCTCCCTCTGGTCCCCAGCCTGCCCAGAGCTCTCCAGCAAGCAGTGAATCTAACTTGAGCCCCCGACCCCAAAATATTCAGCAGAGCTGTTAAAAAAACAAATATAAAAATACAGTCGCTTCTCCTGCCTACTGTTCTGAAAACTACTGTACAACAGAGGGGGCAGCCACGTAACCAAGGGACAAAAACCAACAAATTTACATGCTTTGCCATACAGCAGGAGTCTGCTTTCTGGGCTTGCTTGTTCATTAAATTCCCCCAGGGGAAATTCATTCTGCCTGTTACCAACTTCCACAGGTCCTCTCAGATTTGCACGTCTCTTTACAGCTATCTCCAGTTCTTATTTAAAACGTGCTGCCTGGGGTTTCAAGCTGCGTTCCCAGTGGCCCGCTAGCCAGCTGCAGAGAGGATTTGAAGTCTTCATCCAAAAAAGAGCAATAGGGGATCAGTGAAGGTAAGAGAGGAAAAACAGCTGTGCAAAGGCCAGAGTAACAGATGAATAAGAGATCCTTTTTTTTTTAAAAAGATACAGGGACTACCGTTAGGGAGAGAGAAAGTGAGAAAGCTAAAAACAGACGAAGTGATGAGTACAGAATTAGGAAAGGCAAAGAGAAATGACCCAGCAGCAATCCTACTTCAGGTGTGTCTATTTATCACTTTGCACTCTGGCTGCTTCGGTCTGGTTCCCCCAGCTCCGACAGGTTTTTTTTCCCCCATGCCACTGGTGGCAGAAAAAGGCTTTAAGGCTTTTTTTTTTTTTTTTTTTTTTTCCTCCTTCAGCCACCCACCATGCACAAATCAGGGTATTCGCCTTCCAGGCTCTGACCTGAGACAGCCAGGCCTTTGCATAATAAACTGAGGGAAAAGGAAAAAAACTGGGAGGCTGGGGGAGGGCAGTTCTGCTTCTCTCACTCACCTCCAGCCAAATTACCATCTCTGCTGATGGTTTTGTTCCTCCCCTGGGAATTGCTCTCCCAGAACAGTCGCTGACACCAGCTCCTGAGGCAGAAGCAGAACAGATAAGCTCGGCTTCTGCTCAGCCCATTCCCTGCAAGTAGTAGATGCAACAGATTTTTCCTATCTTGAGCGCAGCACCTGCTGCTGGGTACAAACACTGCTGGTTTTTGGCTAGCAAAACTATTTTCCTTCACTAAACAACAGACCAGAATTTAATGCTAAAATGCCTCATTAAAAGAAGGTCCAGAGGGAAATAGTTCAGAAAAGCTTTCCACAAGGTTTAATGCAACATCTGAGGCCACTCGGCAGCCCTGGCTGCCTATTTTGTTGCTGGAGTACGCTGACTGCGGCACGGGGGGGCTGCAGCTCTACCTGCCCAGGTCCTCTCCTGCTGATGAGCAAATTGCTGGTCTCAAATGAAGCTTGAAAAAGCTCTAATGCCTCCTTCCTATTCCATAGCATCCCCATTCCCCCAACCCAGATATTTAACCAGGTTCTTTGTCTATTACGGACCGGGCTTTCTGCTGCTTTCCTTCCTTCCCTGTAGCCTGTGCAGTGCCACTGGGAGAGCTCAAGGGACACAGTGGTGTAAGGGAACAGCCAGAAAAACGTACCTGCTGCTGCAAAGCCAGGGCACGGGCACGAGGTTACTGTTCGGCTCCTCGCTGCTGCCTTCTGCCCTCTCTCCTTCCTTGCCAGCGGTTACAGCTTTCAGAGGGGCTGGCTATATAAAAGTGCTCCGTAATCTGAGCCTATAAAATCCGTAAAAAGACCTAAGCTAAACAAGAAACCACAGCCCCTTCTGTCCTCCCCCACAAGTCAAATGAGTTTGGGGTGAGGGTGTGACCCGATGAACAATTAAGGCAACAGGGGTTAATGCTTCCAGAGGAGAGAAACCAGTGACCTGTCCAGGTCGATAGCCACGACCACTGGGAGCAGCGGCTGGACCAGTTCGGCTGCACGCTGGGTGCTCTTAGAGCCTGCCTGGGGCCTCGGCAGTTCCATCGTAATCTCTGACCGAGGTCCAGTCCCAGGCGTCTTTCTCAAGTTCACTTCCAAATGGTTAAGTAGATGACGCATTAGTGAAATGGCAAACTATCTCGAGGGAGGAAACACTCTCAACTAACAGGCAGACTACAACAATTCTGACTTGATGCTTTCGTCACGAGCCCGTGGGGAGAATCTCGGGGGAAATCTTCTGAGCAGAAATGACGCCACGAGACTGTTTCAGGCAAACAGCATGGGAGCGGCTGACAAACCTGAGCCTCCTCCATCCAGCGCCATGCCTGGACCTCCCCTTAGGGCTGGAAAGCATGTAAGAACCACTGCAAATAGTTATGCTAACAGCACCACAAACCATTTTTGCAAGTATGAAGGGAAAGGCAAAGTCTGACAAGATTTAAAGACTATTTCCTCCCCTTCTCAGGAAGGTAGCAGTATCAATGATTCTTGACCAGAGCCATTATTTTTCCCAGGAGATGGGAACACAGCAGGGAACCATTTGGGTTTTTTTTTTTTTTCACAACAATGAACAGTAAATCTTAGTAAAGACAGAAAGGTAGGCACCAAACTCTTGACCATCAGCCAGCCTTAGCTGAGTCCCATCGCTAAGTGAGACCACGTTGCCCCTGCTTGGGGCTCCAGAGAAAAGCCAGCCTCACTGAAGTGTTTGACTTCTCTGACAAGTTTCAGGTGACAGGGGCAAAGCTTCCACTGAAGAACGCGTGTTTTCATTTTGTGGCTGGGAATTAAAGCCAGAACCGTGCAAACGATGACTACCTACTTCTTAGATGAGCCACCGCCGCTTGTTGCAAACCCACCTGGACAGTCACAGACTTCGGGCAACCTGTTGCCTTATCCAGCCCTCGCGTGCCTGTTCTTTAGTCCTTTGCTGTCTAAAGCACGATAAAAGTCGCAAACGGTAGGCACAGCCTTGCGGGAGAGGCAACTCTACTTGTCCTCCCGCTCCCCCCCACCGGCTCCATCAGTCTCTAGTGCAATCGGCTGCGCTGGGCTCCTGCTCCACGGCTGCTGCGGGTGGCTCTGGGCAAGGGTCTGGTGTACAGTGTAGTGCACATCACCTCAAAGTTCCAGCCCCTGAAGTACAATCCTTTTGGTCATTCATATATTACAACCCTCTTTTTTTTTCTTTTTTTTTCCCCCCTACCCCATTTTGTTAAAAAAAATAAAGTTTTTTTGGGTGTTTTCAGGTTTTGTTTCTTCTGATTTTCCTTCTTTCTTCTGAGCACGTGGGGAACGCGGTGATTCATGGGCCACCTCTTACTGGATTCCTCGAAAGAGACACATAGCAAAGATCATGGCAAACAGCTGGGAAAGGGGGGGGGGGAGAAAAGGGCAAAAACAAAACAGAGAACCACAAGAGTCAGCTGCATCTTCCAGAAGATCGGCAAAGCCCTCCCTGGCCCTGGGACCGCTCCCGTCACTCCCTCCTGCCCAGCAGTCAGTGACACAGCGAAGGGGACCCTTCTCACCACCCAGGGGAGGAGGCCGTGGCAAAACTTCTTTTTTTTTTCCCCTGAAGACAATCCCTCCCCTCCTTCCCCTGCCCACCCCCAAACGGTTTGTGGTTACAGCAGCCAGCCTGGCTTCGTTCCCAAACTGCCCTCGGTGTCGCAAGGGAGCAGGACCTGTGGTCCCTGCTCGGCACATCATTGCCACCGCCTGGGACGGGAACAGCCTGGCATTTGTGGGGGCTGCTGGGGCTCCCTGCCCAGATCCCTCTCCTTTGCACAAGACAGGGGAAAGCACCCAGCCTTGCCCCAGCGATGCTGCTGGGACCTCGGTTCTGGGCTAATGTCATGTCTGGTGGAAGCCTGTTCCTGGGAAACATCACCAAAAAGCAGGTCCTGATGCAGGATAATGAAGATGCTCTGGAGCCAATACAGCTTCAGCCTCTAAACAGAACTTTTGAAAGCAGAGGCAGAGTTTGAACACGTTAACCAAATGACAGATTAGTCAGCTCGCTGGGGTGCTACTGCAACAAGGGCAGCGACTACGTGGGGTCCCGGGGCAGGCGGTGGGTCCCCAAAGCCCCCGTGGCCAGCGTGGCAGGGTGCGAGCTCTGCAGCGAGCCCAACGCGAGCTGGCACTACTACTACCCGGGCAATTAAAACCACAACTCAATAACCTGCTCACGCTTTGCAGGAGCGGTTTTTCTCCCGGCAAGGGGGAGCACCTGCCCGTTTGCCTGGCTGCTGGACATCTACCGACACCGCTTTTCTTCTAGTCACGCAATCGTAAGTACCTCGATAGCCAACACTCCAATGGCAAGGGCTCCTGCGAGGTACACGTAGGTCTCGAAGGAGTTCAGGATCACAGTGTAGCAGCCCTAGGAAGGATAAAATAGTGGTGAGACGTGCCCGAGCAGCACATCGCGTTGTTCTCACAGCGTAGCCCTCGTTAGTACGAGAGGTGCTCTCGGATCCAGGCACCGCGAGCACGGCTCCCTCACCCAGCCCCACGGCACGGGAGGCAGAGACCCACGGGACAGAGCCGGGGAGGGGAAGGGTTTGTTGTAGCGGGATAGGAAGGGTTCACATCCACAACCCCTCGCTGACCACGAGGAACTGCGAATTCTTGCAGGGCAGAAGGAGCAGCAGGGGAGAGGCACCACCTCTGCAAAGGGCAGAGACTAAGCACAGAGGACAGGACCCTCAGGGCAGACGACAGGCAGCCCGGGCTGGCGAGGGAAAAGGACGGTTTCTTTAAAGCCGAGGCAGGAGATTCTTGAATCCTCTCTCATAGCCAGCAGCTCTTTCACACCCCAGGACCTTTTCTCCATGCCTTCCCCCAAAGGAGCACGGATGAACACCTGCCGATCTTCTGGCTATAGGAGAATTAATTTCATTACGAACTCGGGGCCATGCACTACAGCTATCCTTCCACTGATGCAGCATAGCGACCATCATCTTTAATGTCATTTATTATAGCTCATAAAATTAACAGCAGCTAGATCTTCCACCATGGTTTCTGGATGGTTTTGGAAATCACCAGCTTATCCCGGCCTCAGTTCTCACGGCCTAAAATTCCAACCCACCGGCAAATTTCTGCAAATAGGTCACACGTAAAGAGAAAAGTAGATTGGAGTTTGTCCAATGTAAAAGGTAGCTCTCCTCCCCACTGAGCATATACTTCACACACACACGTTTAATCCCATCCATACTGCTGGGACGTTTCAATCACCTGATTTTTTTTCCTTCCACCCGTAAAGAAAGCGTCTGAACCGCAAAGACAGCACAACAGTTACGTACCGGTGTCCGTGCCAGACCCGGCTCACTGTGAGTAAGACACAACCAGACGAGAGTGAGGGAGAGCACAGAGAGGACCCCCTCATGAGGCAGACCCAGGCAGCCCACACCGCTGGGGCAGTAACCGAGCTGTTAAAACCACGCTCTGGCCAACACGGGACAGCTCAGCAGCAGCTCTGTTCTGGTCACGTTTCAGCCCAATTTTCGAGGAAAAGCATCTAGCCTAGCAACAAAATGTTTGGGTGCTTGCCAGAACTCCAACCTTAACCCAACTTCCAGCTCAGCTGGCTACGAACAGGGGTGAGCACAAGCATGGCCAGCACCGTCCTACCAGCACGGGGTCCCAGGAGCCTGACTTTGCTCCCAGAAAGTCTGAATTCGGCCATCAGTTGCTTGGGAGCGTCTATCCCATTTTACAGAAGTGCCTCACTGCGTGCTTGGTGACACTCGCTGTGCACGCAGCTTCTCCCACCAATATCACGGTGACACGGGCTCACGGGAAACCTTCCTTTTCCATAGAAGTGGTAAACCTCAGCATCACCACTCAGGGAAAGCTAAATCTGTTATCTGCTTTAACGCCCGTTCTCAAAATGCGTTTCTCTTTCCTTCCCTGCTGTTTGTCATCTCCCTCTCCCTTCCCCATCTATTCACAGCAATCAGACCTGGCAGAAGCAGCACGGTGCTGTCTGCTATGATGTCTCACCCAAAGTGCCTTCGCCAATCATTTCCAGCTGCCAGGCAAGGAAGAGCTCACACGCTGCTTCCAAACTCCTTTACTCTCTTTCACAATCTGTTACCAAGTGCTGAGAAGAGGACTGCTGCTTAGTCTGGAGAGAAAAGGAGGCTTGTACATAGGGTCAGTACAGAGCTCACCTGGCTTATTAAGGCTGAGGTGAACACAGTCGGGAACTTTGCTAGAAAGTTTCTTCAATTTCATATCTCGGTGACATTGTAAGGAAACATGACTGCAGTATCAGTGTCAATGACATTACGCTGAACTGTCTTGTTCCAGTCCAGTATTGGGAAAAATTGCCAAGTTGAGAGGCCTGGCAAAAGCAATGCCTTTTTTCTACTATAAAGAGTAAAAGAGCAGAGAAATGCAGCTTTCCAACACTTCTCTTCCTTGGAAAACAGACATGGTTTTCTGTGGCTGTTTAACCCTCGATCTCTCGGTTGCATATGTCGTTGATGAGGAATCTTTGTGAACGAAACTGGAGCCACTAGCGCAGCCAGTAAGAGCCAACTCCATCCCGTCCTCCCTGACCTGTGCTGGCTTGCTAATTAACTTCTCAGAGATAGTACTAACCTTCTGAAACACAATAAAACTTGATGCAAATTTCCACTCCACCTCTCAATCCCTTGGGAATATCTTCTTATTTCTGCTGATACAGCACAGCACAGACTTAGCAGTGCACACAGGGAAAGGGGATTTTCAAAATCAGACATGTACCATGACTTCAAAAGCTATCAGCAGAAGTGTAATTAGGATGCGAGCTGCAGGCAGAATGGCACAACGTGCCAGTTTCACTAGCTACCCACGACCACTGCAGCCATCTCGCTGCCCACTGTGAAACTCCTTTTCCTGCTGTTCAGCTTCCCTTACCTGTCGGTTCTGGAACCTCTCGACGCCTGTGAGGCAGGCTTCCCTGTTGACAAACATTCCTTCCCGGCTCTGGAGTTCTCGCTGGCAACAAGCCTCTGGTGTCGCCTTTTCCAAAGAGGAGTATGGAAGATGAGGGACAGCTTCAAAATCTTCTGGTCCGTTCACTCCACAGCAGGCAAACTAGGGAGCGACACAGAGAAGAAAGGAAGACAGAGATGATGCTTTGCCCTGAAAGCAGAGATAAGAAATCTACCAAAGACCTATTCTTGTAGCGATCAAAGCTTTAGTCAAAGCAGAGACAAAACAACTGTTGTTTCCAAAGAAGTGGGCTGTGCTTGTACCTTGGAGCTTCTGTTTCATCAAAGCCTTTTTATAAAGTCCCACTGTTCCCGTGTCGTACTGTAGACTCTAAGGTACCGCTGGGAATATTGCCACGAACTACGCAGGGCTTTGGAGCACATCCAGAATGACTTGCTTGAGATCACCCAGTAAGTCTGTAAGGGAGCCAGCAGTACAATCCAGGCTCCCAACTGCCCGCCCTCCCCATAGCTAACAGCCAGAATTGTTGCTGCTCAAAGGCACTGCTAGGTGATTCAAGTAAAGTCCCTTTTTACGATTCAAGTCAGGTCCTTTTTAAGGATTCGAGTCATACTCTGACTCTGTCTCCTTTCAGTCAGCAAAAGGAAATGTCTTTATTAAAGCCCTGAATCAGCATGAAGGGCAGCAATCATCTTTTTCTTTTAAGATTAAAATTGACTTTTCATCTGCAGAGCCTGACATCCTGCTCTTCACTCCTGAAGAGATACACCACGGGCTGTACTGAGCACTAGGTTCACATCTGTACGCGCGCACACACACACCTTCTTGCAGTAGATAATAGCAACTCCAATTCCAATGACAGTCCATCTGTAACCTGCCTGATTAGGACTGTAATAACAAAGTCAATTCTGATGGCTAATATTTCTATACTGAAAATACACCGTTAGGCACACTCTTGCTTAATCTGACACCTACCAACTCGTTTCACAAGAGCTAACAAAAAGCCATTAGTTAGCACCAGTTTGGGGCTGCCGTTAGCTCGGGATAGTTCTGAAGTAGTCTGCAAGGTGAAAGGTCCACGGTAAACGCGGCGACACTCAGTTGGAGACAGCTCCGCAGCTTTCTGTGCCCGCTGTTCGAAAGCTGGGCGTACCCACAGGTCAAACGCCTCGGGCTTTGGGAAACCACAAAGGCTGACGCAGTTGAGAAAGACCGGCTGCCAGCCGAATTCTTTCGTCTCCCTCCCACCACCGCCACAAACCCCGGGGCTACGCTTGATGCGACAGGATGGTTGAAGCAGGCTGACCCTAAGTGAGCTGAGGGTGAGGGCTGAGCACCGTGTTGACGGCTGCTGGCCATGGGCAGCATGGGACCGGGCCACGGCCGGACTTACTGTGATCATAACGGAGTTCCAGGTGGAAGAGAAGACGTCCGTGTCGTTGTTCCTCAGGTAATGCTTCTTCAGCTCCTTGGTGAAAAACTCTCTGGTCAGCTGAAACGCACAGACAGGTGGAAATGTAAAGGCTACCGCCAACACCTTTCCCAAGCGGTTCCCAAAGTTCCCTTCTGCGAATGGTGGGGGCTGTTTGGTTGGTTTGGGTTTGTTCTTTTTTTTTTTTTGCAAACCTCGGAGGGGAAACATGGGAAAAGCCACTGGCTGAACCATAACTATATCCATGGTCAATGGTACCTGTTGGATAAAACTGTCGCTCATTAAAAATCAGGGATTGAATTATATCTATACAAGTAAGATCATGTTTACACTTAAAGCTTGGGGTTTTTTTTAAATTTTCAACGCTATTTGAAAGTGTTTCCTAAGTTGAAACAGGACTAAACCAGATTTTAGAAATCTCTTCAAATCCACACCCGAATAGTAGTTTTAGTTTACTGTCCTTCATGAGGTCTGCAATCAAAGCACAATTTTCCCCTCACTTCTCATTTTAAACCAGTTAACTTCCTACTAATGACAAGGGAACTGCTCTGAATTTACTTCCATGTGTTAGAAAGCAGAATGAAGCCCTAATATGAAACTTTCTGGGAATGAAAAGGAAGTAAAAAACATAATGAATATGAAGTGTTCAATTCATGAATTGGAAAAAGACCATCTCCCTGACAATGCTTTACATTATCTAAACTAACCCACACACATGAAGAAAAAAAAATTGTCTTTATATTTCCAATGTTTAGATAATTTAAACATTTTTCCTAAGGTCAACAATATAAACAAATGGAATTTCATTTACTCCTGTTACATTTACAGTAAAAAAGAAAAAGTGAACGAACATTTTGGCTCAGAGTCTTCTCAAGAAGTTAGACACCTTGAAATTACATTTACTTAGGATCACTCTCTGGAGGACTAGTAAATGTACAAACTTAATAGCCTTGTTAAACTGAACACCCCAATTCAACCTTGCTGCCTTTCTGTCACTTCAGGATGAAAACTTCAAGGAATCCCCTTTTCAGGTTTCCCAACAGGTCTTGACCTGTGTGGTCCCTTCTCCAAAATACCTTGTGATTTGTGATCCACACAGGCACAATCTCTCTCCCACTGCAAAGCCTCAGTGAAGGGGGTTGGACTCGGCTGGGTACAGCACTGCTCTAGTTGCATACTTGCAGGATCAGGAATTAAGCTGCCTGAAAAAGACCCTTTTTTTTTTTTTTTTCCCCCTGTTGTTCATATAGCACTGCACATGCAGTAACGTATACTGCTACAAGTTGGTTTCAGGTTCTTGATATGCAATGTGAAATATCGCACATACATATACAAATGTATGAGATGTATGCATGGGCACAAAAGCATAAACACAAAATTGCTTGTCTCCTTTGTAACTGTATCACAAAATTTAAGGAAAAAAAGAGAAAGCTGTAGTGACTTTTTAAAAGACCTCCAAATACCACTTAATATTGACTTCTCTTTTACAAATATGAACTAAGGCCAAATTTAATGACTGTATCAATACCGGTAAAACTTTGTCACAAAGACTTGAATGATGCAGGCAGCTCAATCTCACTACCTTTTAATTAGATATGCCACTAAATTCCTAAATCACTTTTATGGGACATTTTAACTCATTTTTTGCTTTTGAATATTAAAATACCAGAGGACATGGCATTTGCCTTTGGGAATTTGGCACCCTGAGGGAAGGTCAGGTTAGAAGATGCTGAAATACATCCTCAGTGTTCTTCTTTCCTTCCCTTTCTCTGCATACTTTATCCACGTAGCTTCCTACCCTGCAGAGACAGCAGCACATTTTTTTTAATGCTTGTCTGTTGCTAAAGCGGGGACTTTGAAACTGATATTACCGTTGGTAATAATCCCAGCCGACTGCCTTTGGCGGGGCCTAAAACAAAAGAGTCATTTAAATATAAAGTGAAACCTTTATTTTGACAGCAGCAACCCCAGAGGAAATTGTTCAGAGTTTGTGTGCGATTTTTACGAGACTTGGCGTAAAACAAAGCCTAGTGCTGCAAGGGTAAGTTTGCCAGGAAAATAACTGATTCCATTTTGTTGCTCTTAAACTGTTTGTCCTGAGCATCTGAAGTTCAGAAAAATGTAAAAAAAAAAAAAATTAAAAAAAAAAAAATCCATCAGCAGAAGCATCTTTCTTCTTTTAAAAAATTGCTGACAAAGGAGGATAAAAGTCAGTTAGACAGTCCTGCTCACATGCCCACAGCCCCCCTTTCGCTGAAGCTAGTAACAGCACTGATGAAGTCTGTGCACAGTGGAGTACTACGGCAAGAACTATTCAGAAGGGAGCAAAGGACCTACTAATAAAACTAGATCTTCGCACACACTTCTGACAACACAGGTACGTCAGCCACAGTCACAAACGATAAAGACCCATTCAGCTGTGGTTTTTCTAGCTGTTCTGGGGGGAACATCTCCCATACAGAAGAAGCACATGCATGCACACATTTACGTGCTAGTGAATAAAGTGGGGCTGTTTTGTCACACTGGTTCAAAATATAGCTTGGCTGGGATTACTGCAGCCAGATGAAGGGGATTGACGAAAAGAGGGCATTTCTGGAACACAACGCAAGTGTGCCAGCACTGGCCAGGAGGGTCACGCAGCCTTCTCAGTGTTGTGTTCAAGAATACTGAACGCTGTGCAAGAAGCTGGCTTTGTGTTGCTTGCTTGGAAAACAGGACACACTCCTGTCCGTCTGCATCTGCCTGGAGCATCCTAACGTTTCTGACACAGTACAGTGCTTGCAGGGTAGGTACAGTCACCACTTCCATGGTGCCTTCCAGCCAAGAGACCCCCAGCTGCTCAACTGAGGGATGGATGGTTCATGTTCTTTAGTTTTTGCCTTATGTCTGAGGAGACAGAAGTATCAGGAACCAAAGCGACTTGTCTATTAAGTGTCAGAACTGGGGCTAAAAATCCAAACATCCTGACTCCATCCAGACCCCTGCCACTGGACTCAACTGTTCCTACCATCCTGCTTTCTTGCCTGCTAAGACAATTCACTAAGAGTCAAATATCCCTTCAGGGTTTCTCCCATCCAGACCTCCAAAAGGCACATGAAGAGCAATTCCTGTACGTAAGTCAAGTAGCTCTTTCACAGCCTCTCTGTATTGTTCATGGAAGACGTTATTTTATGGGGGCGTCTTCTAGATGCAAAAGGGTCTCCACCCTCCAAAACCTCCTTTAAAAAGGAAGAGAAACTCTGGTACTCCCATAGCTGATTAGCAGTTCTCCTCTTCAGAGGCCGCTTCTAAACAGTTCTTTGGGAGTGCAACCGGACTTGAAGATCACCGTAGCTCACCACCACAAACACCACTTTCACTCACCCCACCACCACACTCTGCTTCACTGACTCTTCCTCTCATGTCAAATCTCAGCTGAAAACATCTCTTTTCTCCCTTATTTTTGTCTCTTCATTTCTTCAGCTATTAATAATTTAACTCTGTTGAGTGTCTGGGAGCTAGTTTGGATGTAAAACACTATACAAGAGAAAGCTGTACTGAACATTATCTGGAAAGTGAACAGATAGAGCATATCTTTCTCTTTTGTCTCATTTTATGCACCCAGTGAGGCCACAGCCATATGGACTGGTGCAATGACCATCACAGGAACCCACTTGGAAAGCTTCCAAGAAATTTAGGTTGCCTAAATGTGCATTTACCACCACACGCCTTGAAAGTAACTCGTTTCACGGGGAAGAGAAAAGCACATCTGAACCTGACCTTAAATTGCTACTGTGAAGAATTCTTCCCGACACGGGGTCACTGAAAGACCACCTTTGTCCCCACGGACAACCTGTCCGGCCATCCAGCCTCACCCTAACCCAAAGATGACAGCAAAATTAGCCACAGGTAGTTACCAAGCCAGAGGAGCTACCACCAAAATACACAGCAGCAGCAAAACAAGGGTGGGGTTTGGGTGGTTTTGCTTTTTTGTTGTTGTTTTTCTTTTCCCAGAAGAAACCTGAGGCGAGAACAAACCACAAGAATTTTCAGACTGAGTTTAACTTCTGCGTAGAGCTATCTCCAGCTATGTTGGGATCTGACGTTCTTCGTTCCTTCCCATTTAAGCCCTTCCTGTCAGTCATCCTGACAGAGTGGGAAGCTGGTGACACAAACAAGGAGACAAGCTCAAGAAAGATAGAAGTTGCTCCCCTTCAAGTCTTATCTCACAAAACACCGCCAGATGCCACAGAAGTCTAGAATAACCACTGCGACCTTATCCTGCAAGGTAACATATTTGCGGTCTGCTGCTTGTGCTGAACCAAAGGAACTCTCTAAAAAACTCCTAACAGCAGAGCTGTAATAACCGTAACGCACCAGACCCCCCAGGCTGCAACCGATTTACGGAGCAGTAGCTGTTCCCATGGGGGCACGGTCGCAAAGACTAAGCTGGAATGGGGCACCCATTCTGTGCCCTCCCTTCCCCACTGCCTTCAGATCTGAGGCAAAGACAAAAGACCATCAGCTTATAAAGGGGGGGGGGGGGGGAAATCCTCTCACCACCTCCCCCCAAGACCATTCTGCTGCACAAACACCACACTGTCTTGCTGTGAGCTTCCTAAGTCTTGACTCTCTGCTTATCGATATCTTTTTATACGAATAAAATTAAAAGTATAACCTGCCTCAAGAAAATCATCATTTTACATGGCCCTTCTATGCTTATGCCACATTTCTGTCACGTTCAGCAGAGCGAATGTGCTGTATGTTCTCTTACTGCTGGCAGAGGCCAAATAAAATAAATCCTAACGGTCACTACTGACCACCTTTACTGGCCAATGTTTTTTCACAGCCATCACTCAGAGTCATATTTCAAAGTTGGGCTGACTTGAGAAGGATGCTCCTAGTTCAGTCAGGCTCTCCTTTGCACACGTGGGAACATGAAAAGAATGCACAAACCTTTGCTGATTAGAGAAACAAGTGAGGCTGTGCTTACTACTAGTGTAGTAAAAGCTTACAACTAGCATAGGGGAGGGATGATGGCCATATAATATGCATAGCAGCAGAGTAGAGAAAGGCTACATCATATGAAGCTGCAGTGAGAAGGACCACAAACTTGTAAGCAGGGCAATCTGCAACGGATCCATTGATGGGACTCAAAATGGGACATGGGGAGACTTGCCCAGGGCAGATCAGGAAGGATATTTTCCAAGCAGCATTGAGAGGAATCTGGTGAGCATCAGAACATGAAAATTCAAGAATGAATATGATTAGAAGATGCACAAAAGAGTTTCTGCACTGCAGAGCAAGCATTGGCTCTGTGGGGAAACAGGAGGTTTCACTATTAATATTAACATTAAATACATGCTATATTGAAAAAAGGAAAGATTTCCTTTTAACCTTACTGTGACTTTATTATAAAACTTCTCTCTGATGGAATGTGCAGCTGGTTTGGCTGCAAAAGAATCAGGAAGACTCTAAAAATGTCAGGATTTAAGTAGTCCCCCAGCGTATATCTCCTGTGTACATAAACCATGCACCCTGCACACACCAGGTTAGTTGGCATTCACTGGCTTGCTGGCAGTTCTGCAGACTGAGGGTAGTAATGAAGCAGGTTTGTTGGTATTTGAAACGAACAGTTGCTCTACAAACGAATCAGCCACCACCATTCCAGCTGGGCACGATCCCACTGGGGTTCAGAGTTTGCCCACCATCGAATACTTACATTTTCTCTGAAGATAAAAGCCAGGATTGCAGCTGAAAGCTCCGCCAGGAAGATTAACAAAATAAACATGAAGAACTGGAAGAGAGAAGATGAAAAAAAAAATACAACAAACCGCAGACATACCATTAGGTGTGTGCAATAGGTAGTAGGAACATAGGGTTTTGCTAGTCTCCAAAGAGATGGAAAAAATAACTGAGGAAACTTTTTTCTCCCCTGACAATTAAAAAAAACCTATGAGACAGTAACCTGGAGCAGACACAGCCCCTCTCTGACCATGTCACAGGACATGGGAGCTTGTGACACTTTTGTCTCATTCTAATGGGTTAAAGGGAATAAGACTACAGGACCCACAGCATCCCCTGATAAATGCACCAGGTTAAAACAGTAAAGCCTACTTTGATGGAAAAAGCAGATGCTTGTACAGGGTTACACTGTCCTGACACAGGTGCATGCATCACATGCATACACCTACATATGCAAACACACCCCTCATCACAACATGAACAATTTTACTGTAATATGATCATAGCTCATTTTGTATGGAAGGAGGTAGTGGGACATATACTCAAATATTTACACTTATGACCAAAAATGGACTCTTTTCAGAATATTCTGCATTTCAGGACAAAATTAGCCTTGGTTAATATCCCCCTCCACAGAACGGGGTTGCACTGAGTTAAGTATTAACCATGCAGAACGTCTACAGAAAGTTGATAACACACTATCATAGTTTTAATTTGATTATGCAAGTACAGTATGTCTTGTGTAGCATCCAAGGTGTGCATATTCATATCCTTAAATTAAGGGCACACTGCAGCCTTGACAGAAAGCAATAGCCAGCAGAATGAGTGGTAGCAAAAGAGAAACAGGCATCCAGTTTGAAGTAAAACCATTACACTTGCGTCATCATAATTCTAGGGAAGAGAAATGAAAGCAAACAGAGGCACATGGTTGTTCAGTTTAAACTGGAACTGTATTTTCATCCTGTTGCCCTTGCAACCTTCTGCTGCTTTGGTCTACAAGCCCGGTCTTCAGTCTTACTAAAGGCTTCTTGTTTCTGTGATGTTACCAAGCCTGAGTGATTTACCGTGCCTTCACCACCCACCCCACAGAAGTAAATCAGATGCACTTAAGAGGTCTCATCCCCAGAGAGGCTGACGCCTTGCTGTGAGGGTGCTGACCCTGGGACCTCATCTACCCAGAGCACTCGGGTACTGTGGAGCGTTTCCCCACCCTGGATGAGCGCCGGGATTCCTGCGGGCTCCCACCTCAGATCCTTCTGCCCAGAGGTGGCACAGAAAACTGGTACACAGCTGGAGGTAAAATTCAAGTAGAGGGGAAAAGAGTGTTGAAGGGAACAAATCTCCCAGGGTGGGAAAGCACTGACTGACACTGAAGAACTCAGGACTCAACCTGTCTTTGGGACCGATTCTCAGTTACATTGATGCCTCGTGCTAGTCTGATGCTGCTTCAGTCCATAACAAATAGTAAAAGGAACAGGGAGTGATGTGCCCTGTAACATCCTTAAAACAACAAATTTTGGTGCTGAGGAACAACTATGGGAACAGAGCAGAAAGTGGCTAGGCTCACACCCTCTCCTGAAATGGCATTTATTTCCATTCTTGGAGACAAAATAGCGAGCTTGAGGAACCACAGTCTGAACTAGATGGATATTGTTTATGTTCTTATAGCCACAAAGAGAAATCACCGTTTGAGCATGAGCCCTTCTAAAATTCAAGGATCCCAGGAATTAGCCCACAGACTCAAAGATGATTTTACAAAACTGAGTCAGCATTTAGAAATGAACTCAGATTTTGGCACCATGTGAGAAAAACAGGAGTGAACAGAGAACTCTGTAAGACCACATCACATGGAGAGTAATAAACATGTGGTACATGTTACCAGTGAAGTTGATTGAAGCAACAAGTAGAAATAAACACAAGAGAAGTTTGGATGGTTCTTTTTCATGTGAGAAGGTTATTGAAAGTCTTTCTGAAACAGAAGGCAGGCAGATGGGGCCAGAAGTACTATTGTGATCCCCAAAGCAATGATTTATAAACAGTGTCTGAAACGCTGTGCACCATGCATTTCGGTAATGGAGAGAGAATTCAAGCTACCTGCTTGGAATGGGCAAAATGTTTTGCTGTCAATTATCAGAGCTATAAGCGATTTTTCCCCACGGGAAAAGTGCATGCACCACCCTGTCCCATTTCTCTTCCTGCTTCTGCAGTGGAAACAAAAGAAAAGGAGCCTGGGCTCAAATGACAGAACAAGAAGAGTCAGATGAGCAGGGACTTCGGTTGCTAACAGAATGCTGTTGCTCGATTTTGCTGAACTAGTTAACTCTCTAATTTATTCTTACTGCTGGAGTTTTCTGCGTGGCTTCTTTTTTTGCTGCTCAGAAATTGTTTTAATTTCACCACAGGAGGGCAAAGAACAAGTGATGAGAATGAACGATGCTTTGCAAATTCACATCATCATCCATCAAGGGATCTCAGCATAGTCACTAAGAGGTCTAAGGTGGTGATCAAGTGATTAATCCCATCGCCCTGCTAATTGCATTTCATTTACTGATTACTGGGAGACACATGTTCACCCAAGCTCCAGCACAGGTCTGTGCAGAAGTAGAAGGAAGCAGCCATTCCCAGATTATCTCTGATAAGCTTCATTATCATTCCCAAACTGATTTACACTTACATTGTGCAGTCTGCATTACAGATTTTTAACAGTCACTGTAGAAAAAACACGAGCAGCCATTAGGACTGATGAGAAAAAGAAGATGGATCATCAGTGTTTCAGAACTTGCTCTCATTCTGCATTTTAAAGAGAGTCAAAATCTGCTTATTATGTTTTGCTTCCCCAAATTAAATTGATTACTGAGAGCACTAAACAGCCAGCTGGTTAATGCATGGGACACAGCAGCCTCACATTCAAATTCATGCTTGAGACCCAACACTTGAACACGGTACCCCCCGCATCCAAGGTGAACATCCGAAGGAGTGGGGTCTCACATGTTGGTCAAAAATCCTGCCTCAGCTGCTGGTGATGGTTACAGGTTTATCAGAAGTTTCCACAAATCAATGCTTTGCTTTTCTTTTATCACAACTCACTTACTGTTCCAGTTTCAGCAATGATGTTCCAAAAAGAGCAGCAACTGCCTTTAACCTGAAGGACGCACATTTTCACGCTGAAAAGTTTCAGGGGCTACTGCATCCATTTTACAACAGTGCAAAACAGGACGTCTGCACTCAAAACTAAGCCAAATGAAGCTAACGTGGACTGTTCTCGTTGCAAAGCTGAATTCAGTCCCGTGGTGCAACGTTGTATGCTCATCAGCACTTTGGATTCTGATTTTCATGGTGTTCTTTTGCAGTCAGAGAGTCTTTAGGACAATCCAGAAGTTATTCGGTGTCTCATTTGCAGGCCAGTGTTTGTTGCTTTTTTTGAGCCAAATGCTGGGAAATCTAGAAACAGTTCACAGCCTTGTGCTTAGTGCAACGTTAGGTTCCACAGTGGTGATTTTTTACCAAAAGACAAGCAGCTTAATGAAAAATAAAAGTCCTTGCAAACACAGAAGCCAGAACCTAGACAACATGCGTTTGTGCGTCTGTCTTGTCCCTTCTATCTTCTGTTTACATTTGGACTAAAAGCTTCAGATATACATTATGCATCACTGTGAAATCTCACTCAAGCTGCTCTCCGGCTCATGAATTCTTTAACAAGTTGTAAGTGGAGTTGATCTAGCAACTTCTTCCTAAGTACCACCCCCTGAAGCCTAACACTCTCCATTTTGCAAGGTGTTCCCAGTCTCTCTGGCACATGCTCATGAATGGTTTGCCTTTTCAGCGCCTAAAACTTACTCCCATCAGATTTCTGGTTTCACAGGTGTTTTATGTGTTTTAACATCGGCTGGTGTGGCCCCCCAAAAAGCAGAAATAGCCACATATCTCTTCTCACTTAGTACCAGCACAGATCCTTGTCCAAGTGCTTCACCGCTGTTGGACATGAGACGGCAGGTTGTTTAACGGAGTTGACTTTGATACTAGAAGCCCCGGAAGACCTGAGCAAAGTGGAAGACTAACTCCTCATCCAGTAATTCCTTTTAGAGTTTCTCCTAGTCTAGGGCATTACTTCCAGCCCATGTATTTCTCACATTCCAAGTATAAAATAAAATAAAATAATAATAAATGTAAATAAATAAAGCAGCAGGGCTCAGAACTATATCTAGAGTTAGAAAAGTAATAACCACAAAATCGAGTGCACTGGAGCATTAACTAAAACACCAGGAGGAACATTCAAACAGTGATGAAACTCTGCGATGTTAAATTAGGAAAGAGCATGGCCCAGAGCTTCCTTCCTCCAGCCAGGTCCCCCATCTGTATGCAGCTCTCCCATTCACTTACAATCAATACTTCTCATCAAACATAACTTTTAGTTTCTTAATCTGACAGGGACAGGCTTTGAAGTAACCTCAGGCTCATTGGGCCTGATCCTTTGCATTTTATTAGGTTCCTCTGGGCAGATCTCCACGACTTCACAGGTGTTACATTTGGTTTTCTGATTTACTTCTGAGGTGAGTCACTAGAAATCAAACCCACAAAGGCTTCCAGAAAAGGGGCTCTCATTTGCAGATTATGAATACAAGGGGTGGGGCAGCCAAGGGCCAGAGAGAATTTATCTCAGAGAAGCCACACTCATCTCTAGAAAATGGTTTTGCCTTCAAGAAAGAGAACTTTCCTGTTCTGTTTAAAGTTAGACAAGCCTCTTTTGCACCATGAAGCAGCTGTGCAAGATTACAATCGTAACAAAACACCGCAAGATCAAGATTTAAAAAAAAACAAAACAAAACAAAAAAACAAACCCAAAGCCCCAACAGACCCAGAGGGAGAAACAAAAGGTCACTTTTGACAAAAATGAAAAATACAACTAATGATCTTTTTGTCTTTTAATACATAACTGGTAATGCCTTCCAGTAAGAGATAATGGCTGGAAAGCCCGCAGTATCAGAACTCATGGCGTCAGTCAAAAGTGATTTATTTTAGAGGCTAGCTCTTTGTAAATACTACTTGATGACCACACGGTCTGAAATTTAACCCTGTCATTCCGGGGAAAATTTGCCCAAAGATATCAAATCTGGTTCATTTTAGGAGCAGAGTAGCCTGCGTAAGGGAGCGACCAGCTATTGAGGGCTGCAATGACAGGCCAGCACGCTGTTCCGAGCTGGCCGTTTCTGCTGACGTGCGGGCTCTGTTACACAGATGCTTTGCTCTACTTGTTCCCTCTGCTTTGTTGTAAACCACCGAGGAGTGAATCCACAAGTGGAGCAGTGGGGTTTGGGTGGCCAAGAGAGGACCATTTTTGGTCACTTTATAAAAGTAAAAAAGAAAACACCAAACAACCAAATAGGACCATTTTGAAACAAAGCTTAACAAGGTCAAAATACACTCCCAGACTCCATATCCACTTGGGCTCAAATCTGGTATAGGGAACAAGCAAACTCCCTGTATTTCTAGCTGTGCGTAAAAGTACCCTAAGCCTATTTATTGTCTAAGGGAATAATGGCTACACTAACAGACACCCATTCATGCACTTACCACAGCATCATCCACCCAGTCACCCCCATCCTTGGGAAGCACCAAAAGGCCAACAGAAACTGCAAGGACACTTACAAAAAGCAGCAGGCATTTGTTCTCACGGATGGCACCGCAGCAGCCGAGGAAACCCAGCAGAAAGAGCATTGCTCCCATAGCCAGCATGATGTACGCTCCCGTGAAGAGCAGGGGGTTGGCAGCCACTATCTCTCGAAAACCTGTGGGATCCACAATGACCCAGATCCCGACTCCCAGCAGGCACGCTCCTCCCAGCTGTCACGGCACAAGGAGAGGAGAGAGAGGGAGATAGGTCAACATAAAACAAATGCTGCAGAAAAACTGGATTCATTGCCATCTTTCGATCAAAGGCATTCACTTCGAGAATTTGTGTTTCTCCACGGCATATATTCTCCGCGGAGCAGGCGACTGCTGACACGCTACTCTTCGTATCTCTTGCTCACTAAACGAGCCATTTGCAGCAAAACCACCTTTCTTCCTTGACATGTCACTCTACCAACTGTTTACTCCCTCCCTAATGCTGAAAGACGGCGTCTCGAGCTGCTGCCACGTCTGTAGCGGTCAGCCCAGTAAAGAGGCACACGTGCACCATCCCCACCACAGAGGCCAGGGTGGCTGGGTGCTCCCACCCTTCCCATCAAAGACGAGAGCAACAGCATCACCAAGAATGACTCTACGCGTGGTAGGAAAATTACTGTGTTTCCTAGTGAAAACCTCAGCGGGGCACCCAGGACTAGAAAGCAGTTTCCTCTGCTATTCAAGGATAGACCACGTACACCACTAGTTAGAGCTTTCCCTCTGGTCTCCCTTGCCAAGGACAAGAATAACTCAGGCAGCAGTGACCACTGTGCTGGCTTGCTGAATGTCTGAGCATCTTTGGATGCTGCAAAACCCTCAACGATTGCCAGTGCAGAGCTGAGGGGATATTCTGTACCGTGGCAACTTTACCAAATTACAGCCTACCCTGCCGGGGAGCAGCAGGCTGCTGGAAACAGGAGGATTCAGGAAAGAAAGTGGATTCTAAATACTTACAAATATAAAGAAATTGAAAAGAAACATCAGGTACTTCATGCAGCTCAGACAGTCTCCCTCCATGATCTTCAGGCTCCTTGATCCAATTCTTCCTGCAAAACACCAGCATTTCCTTAGCACGCTCATTCTTTTTTATTGCAGTGACACAATCCTACCTCCATTTCTATTTTCTCCAAGATCCCATGGAGTTCATTACACAGAAGAGCTCATTTCTCACCTGAAAAAAGCAACATAGCACAGGCTACTAAGAGATAACGATTGCTGCTAAGTCCCTTTGCATTCTGCCAGGTCTAAAGGCAAATGCAGATGTGAAGAGGAAGGCTGCAGGAGAGGAAAGGTCTAGCTTTCCTTGCAGAGTGAGATGCTGGGGGAAAAAATATCCCTCTGCACATGAAGACTGTTTTTTTTCCCAGCCCCTAAAGCCTGTCAAGCCCAAGAAGCACTGAATGTACATGTGTACTTCATGCCAAAAAAAGGTCGTATCAACACAGGAGCCAAAATAAGCTGCGCTCATTTGAAAGACTCACAAGTAAGCATTTGGAAGAGTTAGCTCCACACAAGCTTGCTCGACAGAATGAATGCCACATAAACACGGACAACGTTTTCAGGGAAACGTGTAGACATTTGGAGGAGCTGGGCTGGGAATGACTGCAGCGTGTGGACATGGGGAGGCTGTCCTCACGGTTACTCAGCCTGGGGCACAACACCTACTTGTCAGGCAGTGTGAGATGTTACTGTGCCAGGGGAGTCCTGGACCTCTACACCCCATCCTGCACAGGTCTTCTGCAGGCAGACCCCGTGGATCAACGTTGATAAGCTTTTAAGACCAGGAAAAAACGCTAAGGAATCTTAACCAGTTTTGAAATTCTGTGTCTGAATTAGACAACAAACTGCTTAGGAGTCTACTTCTATTGGAAGAGCAGCTATAAATCCTGACCAGGTGAGGCTACACTGGAAGAAAGTTTCTGCTTGCTGCTTAATGATGTGACTGTGTCTCCCAATATGCAATTATATCACCAAGTACCCTAGAGGGACAGACAAACAGATACATAAAATAGTAAAACTTTAACTGAAACAGAAGATAATGCAGCTATGGCACCGTGCACAGATGGATACATACATATGCAAACACAGAGGCACGAGTTTGCTTAGCTCCCTAGAGAAGCCTTCCTGAAGCCCACACGCTTCTTAACCCATCTCTTTCCCTTTCTCCATTGCGAATGCCATTCCCTAAATAGACCTGCATCCAATGATATGCTATGTTAGCAAAGTACATTCAATTCACTTAAAAGAAAAAACAGAAATTATCCAAGTTTTTCACCAGGCCAGAAATAAAACTCTTTGTTTCACTCCTTCATGGTTTTTGTTAACCCAAAAAAATTCAGGAGCGCTGCAGAGCCTCGCGGGGTGCTTCCCTCTGTGACCACGGGAACTGCTCTGCTTTAGCCAAAGAGCTGAGAAAACCCATGGCAGGCAGAGCTCCCAGCAAGGGGCTGCCTGAGGTAAGAGCCAGATTTTTGTTACACAGCATGTGTTCGCTGCACTTCTTTGACTTGGTTTAAAAATCGGATCAGTTCCTTCCTAGCGGCAAAACAGGCAGAGACACTAACGGTGCAACGCAGAAGCTCGTGCGGCCGTGCGGCCGCTCTCCCTCTGCATCTTCGCGTACCTGGGGCAGGAGAGCAGCCTGCCTTGCTGGTGGGGTACTGCCCAGGGAATCCCCTTTGCTAGAGGAATCCTGAGAAGATCCACAAAGCCCGTCGTTACAGTCCACCTCGCTTCTGGAGAAACACAAACCTGAATCTGGACCTGAGACCAAGGGCAGTATTTTTCTTCGCAAAGTTTCTTTTCTTATACATCTGATACACAACTGTTCTGGCCCAGAGAGACTCAAGGCCAAGACCACAACTGCAGGAGATGGAGTGGGGCGCAGAGCTCTGACATGGGCCTGGAGGAGATGCCCACGGGTTTCTGATGGTGTTTAAAGCCACATCTGCAAATCTCACAGAGAAAGGAGACCTTGAAGTCCAGAAAGGTAAGGAGCTGGGGAGGGAATTCTTCAGTTCCATGGGAAAGGTGGACCTTCACCTCCACTAACCCATGAGCTTGAACACTATAGTAGGGAGGGATATGAAAATACAGACAAATCGATAGGATACTGGAACTTCAAGAGCTCCACAATTAGTGGCACCTAGATGTTCCCATCACCACACAAAAAAGTTATGCTCCAATGAAACAAAGGATGGCTAAATCTCAGTATATTAGCCAAAGTCTGAAAGTTATCTGAGAAACTTCTAAGTCCTGATGCCTTGAGCACTCACCCACATGATCCATATCATAGTAGCCTTAGCCAAAAAAAGAAATAAAAAGCAAACCAGTTTAGCCGTATTGTGCCACTTCACATCATTCACACTCATCTCGCTGCAGAGGCACCCACATGAAAAAACATTGCCTGTGGTCCAAGAAGCAGCAGCTCCTGAGTCTAACGCTGTCTTGCTGCCTTGTAGAGTTGATAAATCACATTCCTGCCTTACTTGACTTTCCATGTCTGGGTCTGGTTCCTCTGCAATCAGTCTGCTCTGATTTACACGAGCTGAGTACAGGCCTCCTCTTCTTTTCAAAGACAAACCTAAGCTACGATCCCTTGCACTGCTCCTGCCCATGCATCCACTCAGTATGTTAAAATATTTTCTAGGCATGGGCAGGGAAGGGAGACTCTGAATCCGTTGAGCAATCGGGTCCTGAAAACTTCACCGGCAGGGCCACGCAGCCACAGTAACCCGGGAGCAGCACGAACACGGGCACACTCAGCTTCCACAAACGAGGGCTCCCTTGTTTGCCTGGGCAAGAAATTGTCCCCAGCGGTGGTGCTGGGCTCAGATTTGTAATTCCTAAACCCACCACGCTTCACACAGCGAAGCAACAACTAAGCACAACCCTACTAATTGTGCTGTGCTTCAAGAAAGGAACACACCCAGGGGGGTTTACAAATCCCAAAGTCCTTCAACTCAGGATGTGCAAATGGAAGTCGGTAGCAGCAGTGCGAGGTTTGGGCTGGCAAAGCCAAGAACAGAGCACGTCAGAGCTTCCGCATCAAAGGAGCTCAATGCAAACTTCCAAAAAAATGCCAACCCTCTGATCTGATCTGAGAAACAGGAGCTCTGAACAACTGTTTCAGTGCTGGAACTTAGAGCCTGGAGAGACCCACGCATACCAGCGTAACACACCCTTTCCAGTTTCTGCTGGGTACCCAGATTCCCAAACAGCACACACAAGGTCACCGTTTGGATCCTGTGATTGCACTGATTAAAACAGGGCAAATCAACCACAAGCATGATCTGACCTCTTACGTAGCACTTAAAAACTGTTTTCATGTCAGAGCTCAAGCACTCCAGCATATATGAAACATATTACTGTCTAGTTCATATATGCAGTAGTGCTCTAGACTTTGAAGAGTACATAACTAATGCTATTTACAAACAATGCAAGCAAAATGCAAATAATGTTACTTACAAATAACGTAATTATGAAACCATTTGTGCCAACTGCTGCCTTACTAATTAGCTGAAAGTACCTGAAGTCCCTGATGACAGGCTGCGTGGAGAAAATAATTGACATGAAAGGACAATGCTGACCCACAGAGCTGCTTTTTCCTTCCGCTTTTCTTTTTAAGCCGTACACACCAAAGGCAAATCTTGTAAGTTACTCCGACTACACGCTGATGCAAGTGCAATAAAAACCGAACGCATATGTCTTAATCTACCTTTTAAAAATATCTTCTCTCCCCTCCTCCAGGCCCCAAATCTGTGACAGATTAAGTTCTCCTCTGCAGGAGACATTTAATGCTAAGCAAACATTAGCAGTCAGAACTGCAGAAGACAGCGGCTGACAGATGCTTTCCCTGGCTTGTCCCATCTCAGACCTGTGAGACATATGAGACGCATTTGTTTTTGTCTGAAATGTAGCTATAAATGTTCAGCTTTTTCTTAGGCAGATTATTCTACATTTCTCCCCCCCTAATATGAATTTTATCTTGCAAAGTGATGGGGAGGCTAAAAATCCCCAGCAGTGTAGCCAGGAAACATACCCCAGCTGCTGTAATCAGTTAGGAATAAAGTCTAGTTTTTCAAGGCAATGTATTTTTTTGTTCTCCAGCCACCATTTATTTCCTTCCCTCTGACATTTGCTTTTGCACGCCTTGCAGCTACCTTGAACTTCACATATCTACAGGCAGCTGCTCAACCACACCCCCAAAAACTGCTTCCAAGTTTCTCTTTGCTACCACTGACATTTCCTTCTACCACCATACCCCTTTCACGCTGGATTGAAAACCATGGTTTCACTTCAATTGCTCCTTTACCTTTGCCTTGGAGATGGAATCACCAAAAAATTTTAGGTCAGACAGAACCTCTGGATGTCATTGAGTACAAACACCCACTGCCTCCAACCTGGGCCAATTCCAAAGTTTGATCTGACTTCGAAGTTAGAGAAGGTTGCTCAGGATCATATTAGTTAAGTTTTGAATATCTCCAGGGTCTGAGATTCCCCAGTCTATCAAAACTCTCAGGAGCACCTTATCTTCACCAGTCTCAGTCCTTGCACCTTCCATATCACACCACTCCGACCCTTTACTGCAAACAAGTGTGCGAACCATCTTCCTTGCCTACCGTTCCAACCATGTAATCCCCATCCCTAACATACCTCTGCAGACTATTCATATTTCACTACATAAAATTCAAACATTGTGCACTTGCCTGATGGCTCATCACAGTCTCCCCATCTCGAATAATTGAAAGAAATCACAGAATAACCAAGATCGGAAGAGACGTCTAGAGGTCACCTTGTCCAACTCTCATGCAAACCATTTTTTCAGTCCCTTCTCTTCTATCACATTGTCCATGTATCTTTTCACATAAACATCTTTGCCGTCAATGTGCGTGAAGACCTTGTCCACCAAACTGATCCATTGCTTCCTTTAAACCTAAGAACCGGTTCTGCAGTACCTCCTACAAAATATTAGCCAACAGCTTGAGGAGCAAATGGTGCTAACTCACACCTACTTTCATATTCATGCACAATGCAACCAAGTAAAAGCAGAAGACATATTTGAAGCTCTCCAGAACCTCTGCCAGACAGCCTTTAAAGGAATTGGCAAACGTGGACCAGATTCTCTTCCAAGTCAATGCATCAATTTCTAGAGGCTGTCCCAGCTGAGATGTCACTAGAAATGTCCCTGAAGCTCTAAGCTGGGCCACCACAGCCTGGCATGTCTCCATTACATCCCTTCCCCAGCAACACGGCAGCCCACCCTTTGGCTTGCAGGTAAGGAGGCTTGGCTCAGCGTGCTCGCCTTCCTTCACGGAGCACCCCTTTCCCAAGAGGATTTCTGTGTTCACTCTCTGCAAGCAGCATCCAACTCCTTTCAACCAAAGCGGAGGGGTCTGCTAAGAGAACATATCTAAACAGGTGGTGCCTTCCAGAAAACCCTCTTAGAGTATTATTTCCACACAGTCTGCTCCTCTAGGTAGAACGGAGATGGGGGCAGTTTATAATTAGGAGACCGACGGGGGACAACTCGCTGCAGTACACCTCGCAGGTGATACGAGGGCAGATGAGCTGTGTATTTCTTACCCCGCTTCTGCACACAATAACTACACCTAACCAGCCTTGACAGAGATACAGAGAAAGCATCTGGCATGCGGGAAGAAAGAGCTGTAAACAAGGCTCACCTTCTCAAATCTTGGGACTTGAAGCACGGTGTCTATTCTAGTCTTTAATTGTCTGTGTGTCCCATATATCTCTTTCCAGTCAAGCTTGTCCTGTAAGAGAAAAATATGCAATTACTGCCGAAGTCAATAAAATGCAATCATGTTAAATACACAATTTATTAAAACACACCATCCTGATGAATATGCTCAGTCTAATTGCCACCTTAATTTAGTGTACATTAGCACTAATGAAGAGCTTTTAATACCCAGCGAGGGATCCAGTTCCTTAGAATCTCTTTAACAACCTTTGGGGTGTTTTAAATGCCCACAGACCACATGTAAATCTATAGTCCCATTACACATGCACCTCATACCACAACAGGACTAGATTAATATCAGCTGCACCTTCGATATTTTATAGGAGGTTTAGACAAACTTTAATCTGCTGTGACTTTCCAGCCCATTTACTGGGAAAATGGAAAAGGCAGAGGAAGGGAGATGGAATGCATCTTTGGGAAGCCCAGCCCAGCCATTAGGAGCAACAGCCTGAAACACGGGCGCTATCCTTCGTTCTTCCAGCCAGCTCTCACGCCAGGTTGAGCAAACTATTTTCCTCTCCCTCCGCCTCGCTGCCACTGCCTGGGAAGCAGCAACAGAGAGGAACGGCGGAGCCACCGCACTGCCTGCCCAAAGGCGTTGGAAAAACCGGTGCAGGCAGATGGACCCGGGTGCAGACCGCCACTGCCCACCAGCTAACGGCTACAATTTTCTCCGTAAATGTCGATTTCTGCCTGCGCAACGCTGGTGACAGTCTTTGGCTGGGCAAAGGTGAGGTGAGACTACAAACGAACGTGCAAAGCGTGCTTGTTTGACTCTTGCCAACCTCTCCCAGGCTGGTTTTTTTCCACCCATCCGACACTGCAGGGTCTGCGGGGAAGGGGCAGCCTCTAGCTATTCGAACAGTGCCCCGTGCCGTAAGGGTGCAATATTCACATAGGGTTGCTTGACACTAACTCGCTCGTCCTTTGCAAATCGTTTTGGAATACTCACAGCTCTGCTGAAGCCACCGCTTCCCTAGGAGGGATCAGAGAAGTCACCTGGGTCTGTCCCTGCTCTCTCACTGCCAGCATTTCATCGTGATTTCTGGAGGGGGTGCACTTAACATCTGTTTCCCACAAACATTTGTGAACGTGCCTTTGAAAATTGCCTCCCATTAAGAGTTCTGTGAGTAAAAGTCTATCATTTGTTGTTGGCAGGAAGCGAACAAAGAGTTTCAAGGTGGCTGAAACTATTATAATATAAAACGTATAATGAATATTCATAGACTTTTTGTTTTGCATTAATCCCTCACGTTTAATGTCCTTCCTCTGTCACTGTGGACCTACATCTCTGAATGATAAGCAAGGACGGCTTCCCTTTTGAAATCTGGAGCGTACAAACATCTATAAACCAATCGATCCATCTCCGCTGCCCAGTTCTGAAGGCATCTGCCGAGCAGCGGCTGCACTGCCCCACTTTACAACGCCGCGTAAGAAGGCTGCCCCGGATCACCGCAGCTTTACCACCTGTGTGGAGGCTCAGAGGATGCGACGTGGCCAGCTGGCAGGTGGCCGCAGAAGGCGCAAGGACCACCGGAGAGGAGCTCGGAGATTCTACGAGCCAGCGTAGACTGCCCCATAGTAGAGAGACCCTCTCCGACAGAGCCCAGTGCGCACCCTTACTTTTTTCTCTTTTTCTTTTGTCTACGGGGACGCTTCACCCTGTGTTTCGCATATGCAATTGAGACAATTTCTTGAGTTGACCTGTCCTGTGATGCCACTATCCTGGGACAGCTGTTGCCAGGAGAAGACAGCTCTAACTTTAAAGCAGAGATGACAGTGTCCTATATAAACCTATCATTAGGAAAGTAACCAGAATGATAGGATTCCTGCTCCTACTGCGTGTGCATATAATTACATCCCCACGAGCCCTCAAAGGTCTGCGTGGGAGAGGAATTTTATTTTTTTTATTCCTCTTAAGTCACAACATTTTAAAGAAATTACAGCACCACAGAGAGAAAGAGCTTAAATGCTTCAGTAGGTACCAGCAGGTGCTGCGTCAGAAGGGATGAAAGAGCGTGCTTGGTGCCAAACAACAGCAATGCTCCATCTTACTCCACGGCCCTAAAGGGGAGGAAGTCCCTGCCAAACAGACTCTCTTTGGTTAATAGCTACGATTTTGTCATTAGGGAGAATTGCAGAAAGTGCAAAACCACCGTGCCTAATTGTGACTCGAGCAAGCTGATGCCTTTAATTACAGTCGCTGGGGAAACAGTGGAAGCCGGAGTCACGGCCGAGGCCAAGGCTCCTTCCTCGGGGCTGCGCTGCCTCGGCAGCTGCATTTGGCACGTCGTCCTCGCTCGTCTCCAGCCACCGCACCGAGTCTCGCCGAGCACTGCCTTCTCTACGCTTTCGCTGCTTTTCGAGCGGCTCTCGGTCAGGACTTCGACGAAGGAAAAGCGGCTAAACTTCATGACGCCTGCTGGTCTCGTGCAGCAAGAAAGGCAGATGGAGAGCCAGAGCAAAGGGGGCAAAAAGGGGCCGATATGCTCAACAGGTAGCAAGTGAAACAAGAAACGAATGGAGGGTGCAAGATGGAGAAGCAAGGACTGTTTTGGGGAGAAATCCAGTCTCCTGCACGTTAACTAGTGCAGGAAGGCCACCAGGTGAACGGCTTACAGGTGTCCTGCTTCACAAGTGCCTCTAGCTCCTTCCAGTCCCCTTTGGTCACCACATTTGCAGGATCTAGAGAAACCCAAACACACGCCAGCCCATACGTTCACAGCCAAAGGAGAAGCTGAAGAAGACAGAAGTCATGTCCTGCCGGATCTCTGCAACAGGTCAGTGCTTCTATGGTGAAGCGCGAGGAGAAACATCTTTGTGGAAGCAGGATCAGAATAGTATCATTCCCTTGCAATGGCTTCAGAAAAAAGGAAGACATTTGCTGCTCCTCAACTGGAGCTTGGCACAAGCTGTCAGCCCCATGCGTTATCCTGTAACTGTTGCTCCTACATAAATAACTAATTGCATTGGAATTTCATAGTGCTTGCATAGCAGAGTCATTGCTGTGACACGACTACATTACTGCATGTAAATCCAATTAGATTCCAAAGTGCACTGTGTAACTATAATCAGCCCCCGTGGAGCAGCGATGAGGGGACCTGCACAAGGCCATGCAACTAGATACTAAATTACAATCAATCTACCTCCTCTTTAGTTGCATTAAAATGCTAATGTCACTGTAATATGGGCCCATTTACCGGCGATGACTGCCTTGCCTTGCAACACTGGAGTGAATGAGGTCGTTACACTGCCTGAGAGCATTTAATTCCTCAGTACAGTCGAGTGAGCAAAGCCCTCAGGGGCATCTTGTACCTTAAAACAATAACCCGATTGGCTTTTATAACACTAAAATCATATGAGGCTTGGGATGGTGTTCAAATGAATCTGAGCTGCTGCTAAAACTATCCTAAGTTTCCCACCCAAGTGGAGCGTTCAGGACAACTGGGCCACATCCCACCCCGACTCTTGCCTGTCTGCTTTTAACGAAGACGCATTTCTGCCACAAAAAGATGGTGCGTAAGAGCACATCGGTCACACGCAGGAGGAAAAAGAGGGCTGGACTGAATCTCTTAAAGCTTCACATAAATAACACCGGCTTTGCAACAACAACAATACAACAACACTTACCGTCTATGTTTTGTATTTGCAACTTTGCACAATGTGTGCACAGAATACCTGAAATCATACGGAGGTAAAATCTCCCACCCATACACAGACATTCAAAATTGAAATTCAGACGTCCCAGAGCAGCACCTAGTCTCCTAAATGTTGTAATGTTTGGAAAAGTGCTACGGTACGTGTTTGAAGTGCCAATATAGCATCAGGCCACAAACCACTCCATTTCAACTAGTACAAATGTGCATACGGTGCTGTTGGAAACACGAACAGCTCACTTTGGCCCCTTCCCAAGCAAAGTTCAATAGGTAATCATGTCTGGTTCTTTCATACAGCTTTTCACACACAGCCATCAGCCATCTCAGGAAAGAAGATACTGCATACAGAACCAATGCATCTGACAGCCTGCAACTCTTTTAAGTTCTGTTCCTTAAAAAAAAAGTCCTCAGATAGCTCACAGGTGTATTTCCCCTTGTATTAACCACATTACAATGAAACCATATGGGTATTGATTGTCTGTCTTTCTAAACAGATGACCCAAAGATTATATGCACTGATAATATAACACTATTAATTCTCTTTAGCAATTAAGAAAACCAAGGCTAAAGGGGAAATGGATGTTTTAGATCTCCTGACCCTCAGTGCAGCCCTCTGTTTACCAGTCTGTGCTGAGACCGGTCCCAAAGCCATGAAAAAGTTGATTACTTCTGGCTGACAAGTTACACTCTTTGACAGGCATCTCTGTCCCAGAGAGAAGCCTATTTAGAATACCAACAGGGAGGCAGCTAACTTTGGCCTCCTATGTCTGAAAATACTTCCCTTCAGGATGGAAGAGATGTCACCCTCTCGAGTGGATCATGGAGTTGCATCGTGAGCCAAGTGACATTACCCACTGCCATGTCAGATACTGCCGAGTGTTGAAACACTCCATATGCCTGCGCAGCATTCCAGACACTTAGGGCGTTTAACATAAAGTGTAAATGCCTGACACTTTTTCCCTTAGCCTGACACATCTCACCTTTACAACAACCAACTCCTCCGTGCTCTTTTCCATTCTCTTTTGCTACAGCCTTGCTTTGTTTGCAGCAAATGCCTCAGGAGTTTGTGGCATTCATGATTATTTTGAAAGAGGCAGGAATACATCTCAGAAATGCTGGGCAGTTGCTGTGGCAACCTTATCCTCCTCAGACCACGATTTCCAATATTTTAAGAAGTTTCCTGATACTTTGCAGGCTTCAGGGAAACAATGCAGAGGAGGAAAGTGATTGATTTTAAAGTAAGGAAGCAATCAAAATGGATTACTATGAGGCGCAGGGCCTTGTCCCATCAAAAAGATGATGATGATCGCTCCTTAGCAAGAAAAAGCAGCCCCAGACAGGC